GTTCTTTATAACTCTTCCGCAGATGCTGTTCCCAGTTTGAATTTATCAAGAAGCCTGCACGGGAGAAGTTTTGAATCCACGTTTGAGGTTAGTGATTTCTGGACCGGTAGCAGATAAAAACAAAGATCAAACAATGGTGGTCACCATGTACTAGGGGAGCGGCAGTGAATATCTGCTCAAAGAAGTGTCCTTAGCTGGCGATAGCCAAATCTGGAATGAATAATAGTTAGCCCGCGCGGTATCTGGCGTGTGCGACGACATCTTGAGTCCAAGCGCTCTGTTAAATGATTTTGACTAAAGCCGCTACAAAGTTTCCACTGGACCGGATGTGCTGGAGATCTATCCAGGAAACACTGGGGCATTAAAACCACCTGCCAGAAACAGACGTATATAGTAATTGTCGTATCAGAGTTGTTCAAGGTTTGCATGAGGAATTGATCGTTTTCCAGAGGACTCGAAGAGCAAAGGCAGACAACACCGAGAAGAAAATAGGTCTCACGCCGCGGGATTTGGATCCTCAGTTGCCGGAGTGGTGTTGGAGAGGACAACTTGGATGGGAAGGGCCGCATGTAAGTTTGAAGCAACCCGACCAGCCTCGCTTTTTGAATTCGCTGGAAAAATTGAGGTGCCGTTTATGGAGATAACCACGTCAAGGACCTCTGGTGTTTAACATCGCGAAGTTTGTCGAAAAGACTGAGGCACTGTTTGGAAAAGCATTTCAAAACTGTCCGAAGATGGAGAACCGAGAAATATGCTACCAAATGGGTTAGCAAATCTGATAACTGTACGTCGGGCATTAATCCAACGTTCTGCGGCATACTTGTCTGCTTCATGCCTTGGTTGTTTCGGGAATGCCTTTCGACTGAAGGGTCGTTTTGCCTCGTGGGATTTCGGTTTACACAGGTCTTTCACCTTTGGGGGACGTAGTAATTCCCCTTGTGGGCGAAAATTTCGAACATTGCTACTTGCAGCCCTTTCACTACCACCTTTCGGACGGCCAGGTTTTCTGTTGTCCAAAGATTCATGGTAAACACGTGTCTGTTTAGTACCTTGGGCATTTTGACGTGGTTTGATTGACGAATTGTCTCTCAGAGCCCCGGCACGTTGGGTGGCATCACCAAGATGTTCATGTCGACAGAACCACCAAAAATGAGCTGCGTGTGTCAATACAGCCGAAACCAAGTCAAAAATATTCCCAAACCACATGGTATATAAAGTGGAAATTCCGACGGCTTCAGGATGCTTCATGGGTGTAGTATACGTAGTCCGTCAGTTTGACTGATTCATATGTAAGTATTGGTGATGTACAACCTTGCTTACTGGGCTCTGGCTCATGAGTTGGGTGGCATCACCAAGATGTTCATGTCGACAGAACCACCAAAAATGAGCTGCGTGTGTCAATACAGCCGAAACCAAGTCAAAAATATTCCCAAACCACATGGTATATAAAGTGGAAATTCCGACGGCTTCAGGATGCTTCATGGGTGTAGTATACGTAGTCCGTCAGTTTGATTGATTCATATGTAAGTATTGGTGATGTACAACCTTGCTTACTGGGCTCTGGCTCATGAGCTTTGTTTCTGTTTTTCCATCCACAGAAATTGTCGTGAACACCTGCCTTCTGAGAATCACTGTCCGCTGGTGCTTCCATAGCGTGCATATTACATGGGTAAAGCTCGCGGTGGATACTGAATCCTGATTGGCTGTTTGGTCCACAACTTTGGCCAATCAGAGATCAGCCTGGACCGGCAGGCGACCCACCACCTGACCAATCACTTGCGGAATAGACACTTGGCCCAAGTGGGCGCGGCGGAGCGGGTTCGGTGCGGGATTCCACCTAAGAAGGATCCACTTTTGCTTTGGGTTGCTTGCGCTGTCAGCGTGCGTTCGAAGAGCATAAAAGTAATTGTTGACCTACCGCATAAGTTTCTCCCTCTGTCTTAGTCCAGGTTTGTCAGCGGAAGTGCCTCACAATTCCTGTTATTGATGCATTATGGGATACTAAGCAAAGCGGGGCAACCTTTTGATTTTTCATTTTTGTTACCTACGGGGGATCATGAAAGGCTTCATGGGATTTTAATAAAAGTGTAATATGTTGGTTTTTCTACCGTGCAACGGTTCTGTTGAGGGATTACTACATTTACTCGCTGTACGCGATGGGAGGGCTGTCTACACAAATCACTGCTAAACCGCCATTCTGCCATGATGTATAATTATACAGTCGTGGATGAGGTATTTATTGTGCGGATACAGTTTGTATGAGAATAAAGTATAGAAGATCCTTTGTGAGTTTGTAACAGCGTTTTATTTTTACTACCATTTATTGTGGCTTGATTTAGATTGTAACTCCTTTGAAGAGTTCAGCTCGCGTGGCGCCTCTGGTGACATGTCTACTGAGTCATTTACAACCCTCGCATAGGCACTGCTTTGGTAAGAGGACCACCCGCTTTTCTAGGACTCATCAAAGTATAGCAGTGAATGTCACTATTGCCACAACTTTTCGATTCTCCATTTTTGTGACCTATGAGGAGTTCATGAGAGGCTTCGTAGGATTCCAATAACAAATATAAACCTACTTTGGTCTGTGTGCACTACAGCAGCGTTTTTCACTATTTGTTTCATTTGCACTCCGCCTTTGTCTAAGAATTATTTAGATTATTTAATATTGTTTGCAGTACGACGGGGTCAGATCCAAGAAAAGCTATGTCGTCTGCGTACTCGATATCTGCGAGCGGACGCCCCGAGAGCACTTCAACCCCACAGGCATTAGAGGCTGGTAGTGAGTCCTTCATGATCATATCAATGACGAAGTTGAAGAGGGAACGTGAAAGAGGACAGCCATGCGTTCTGAGATGCGTAACCACGCCCGCATCTTGTATGCGTGTTTCGGAAACAGCATATATCAGTTTTAAGGGAGTATAAGTTCTCAACAAGCATTATCTGTTTGCCAATTTGACATAGAGTACGGACGTTAAAAGCTCCTATATAGAAAGGTTCTCGTGGATTTGGAAGGGTGTTATTTTGTTTATTGCTAGTAAGCAGCGAGGAGCGTAAGGCCCTTCGGTCAGTCAAATGACCCAGCGGCGCTTGTTTGTGTGGTGGGAAGGGGTTGGGGAGGGTGGTCGTGGACACCGAAACTGCGCGGACAAATGATACTTCCCGGTTGCCCAAGCTGAGGAAAGAGGTTTGGTTGAGGTACCTCACCTTGAGTCTTTGACTCAAAAGTCTGACCCACAAGGCAGTGGGAGGATGTAGGGTTTTGTTCGGGGATCCTGTCCTTAGCCTCTGATTCAAAAGTCTGACCCACGAGGCGGTGGACGGTAGGGATTTTTTGGGACCCTGCCTGGAGCCGATGTCTTGACATTCTGATCTGCTCGGTTGCAGGGGTTGGCCTAATCCAAGGACGCAGGGGATAGGGTATTACTGTCTCATCCCTGATGCGGCTGCGCACAGCAGGTGTCCAGTTCCGCCCTCAATGACGGCCATGCATCCAACCTTTGGCCTCTAATGCATAGTTGCCTTCCCACCCACCCCCACTTGGCAGTTCACTGACAGTGCTGTATTTACGCACTATTTTATCAGCTCCCGGTTCCAATGCTCAGCGACCCACTCCACCTCCCCGAATCATCGGTGAACGAAACCGTGGCAGCTACAGCCACTCTACGACAAGTACGCGGTTATTACAGCTGACAATGATAATGATGGTGATGAGTTCTTCAGGAGTTTAAGACTGGCTACTATGGTCATTAGTTTTTTTTCAATTTATGCTTACAGAAACAGGTAGCGGTGAGGTTGTGACACGCTTGTGTTTCACGGACTCCAGTGTTTGGCAAAACTTTCACAGACCTATCCGCCGGACAAGTTATCGCCCTGCCAAGCTGTTTGTTGCCGCACGTTTTTGCATAATCTCTGCACCTCGTACACATTGGCCTCCACTTTTAACTTCTTCTGCACGCTTTCTACAAGTTCTACTGCTCCAACTTTCAATGACAGATGTCTCAACATGAACGGGCGTCAACAATCCTGTTCAAGGGGCTCGTCTGCGCCTCTAAGATTGTCTGTTACGCACTCAATAAGGACATCTCAAAACACTACAATGCCCTTGCACCCCCAGCATTAACAGGTTAATTTTATGGTAGTTTCCCCGTTGTTAGCAACGGAGTCTTTAAAAACATGGGACGTTTTGCAGCTACAAACCACTTAGTCGCGTGCTAGAGGATGTGCGTGCCTCACTTCACGTCTCGCATGCAATGCAATAGATATATGACCTTAAGCATCCACCATTGCACGAAAAATTCGCGCTCGCCGTCGCATCAGTTAGGACCAAAATTTTATTATGTGGGGGCGGAAACGCCTAGGAGTGGGTCTGCACCGGCTATCTACCCCGTGTTTAAGGTCCACAATTGCATTCAGGATGTCCGCGCCACCTTATCCTCCACCTTCGCTGCATCCTGTGTACCGATGGTGAAGTTTTGGCATATCGCGACCTATTTTCCGACAGATCACAGTCGAAGTCTGCTACCATCCGATTGTCTTCTTGTCACTGGAATCGCAACTCCGGGACCCAACGTCTCCCCTTCCAAACTCCTTTGAGTAACCAACTTAGCACCTCCCAAAGAGCGCGAATTTGCTGGAAGGAAGGTCCGTGTTTCGATCCAGACCTTTGCCTCTCGACTTCTCCTGTTCAGCCATCGCGCTTCCTTCTGGTGGCATGACAGTTGCGCAATGAAAGAGTGCTATGGTTGAACTTTTTACCTCCCAAAGACGCCTGAAGTGATCACTCGGACTCCGGAACTTTTGCTATATACAAGCCTTTCACTTCGAATATTTCTTACAGTTTGCATATGAATTCTACGATGTTTTTAATAATACTATTAGTTAGTTGCTAGTTTTGTCTTGTTATCGTAGTTCTTACCTACGAGGTGAGGTTTTCGCCCACATTCGTAGCTTTCTACCTGGTGTGCTCGAACCATTCTGCTGTTGATTTCGTTCTCAGATAGGGGAAACCTACGCAGATGTCTTTCAAATTGGCTCAATATCTTGGACGTGTTGCACCTGCTATAGAGCTGTACGCTGCATCCAGTATAAGATGGAACCCACTATACTCTATGGCTAGTTTCACTGAAGCTCGACGATTTGCCGGTCACTCCCACTGGCAAAATGTTCGTCACACAAAAGAGGCGCGAGATAAACAGAAGTCAAAAGCCGCTCAAATTTATATCCGCGCGGTGAACAACGCCATCAAAGGTATGTAAAATATTTTTACACCAATCTGTGTTCACAAAGCTGGCGGAGGTATCCGCGATCCGAAACTAAATTCTCAATTAGCCTCTGTATTGGCTGAGGCTAAAGCAAACTCTGTGCCTCTGTCCACTTTGGAACGGTTTATGAAAGCTGAGTTCACTACTGATCCGTATTTCATCGAGGTCCAAGCTCCGGGTGGATTGTTTATATTGATCGAGAGCTGCGCCAAATCGGTGAACGCTGAACGGCACCAAATAGCCGGAATAGTTAAGCGATATGGGTAGGTTCAAACTGCGGTTGTCTATACCTTTCACTCTTTTGCCTCCTATAGGTGTTCCATTTCTCCAGCCGGTAAAATAGCCAACGAATTTTTCGATCGTTTAGCTTGGGTTTGTGTGCCAGGAAGCCCAGCCTCCAACTTAACTGATTTGGATGCAGCCACCAATTTCGGCATCGATATTGGAGCGAACGATGTGGAAGAGGTCACTGTTGATGGACAGATAGCGTTTAAGGTGAGAATGTACTCTTCGGTTAACCCAGTCTCTACAAAGTAATGGAGTAATTTCAAAGAAATCACCTGTAACTGGTACCTCTGTAGATAGCCCCCATCATCCCAAACCTGTCCGTTACAAATGCAAATGTAAGCACTTTGTTTTTCAGTGGTGCTGTTGAAATTCTCAATTGGATGTGGAGCTCTCATTAACTACACAACAGATGTGATATCTCCTACGACCACTCCAACGACTACTGAAGGGTTGCTAGTCTAGTTTATCGTCTTTTTACCCTGATCTAAAGATGTGACCTTGTGGTGTTCGGGCTTCTATGCTGCAATAGTCCTGCGGGCTACATCGACTGGGACTCAGTTCTTTAAGTTTCAGCTATGCCAGGAGGGCCAGCAGGATTAAACCCGACGAACAACATCGTTGTACAAGAAATGATATTACGAAGTGGCCTCGTACTGTCCTCTGTGACAGTGGTGTAAAGGTAGTAAAGTGGTTCCTTCAGGCGAGCATGTCCGTATTTACGGAGGAAGTGTACTTCCTGTTAGGAAGGACGGGCTGGATAAAGTTGGTCGTAAAAACCGCACACTCAGATCTCCCAACTGTTGATCGCGGCCGCCGGCACATTGCTCAATTCAATGGAAATGCTTCCTAAAGCCAAAGAGTTAGGTGCTGCTTAGAAGTTACCTGCTATGCGCAAGCACATTAGAAGTCCGATAATGATGCCTTATTCCGTGCGTCCGCGGACCAGGTCAGCCTCCTGGAGCCAAGTGGGTTAGCCTAGTGAGTACTCGACTCCGGGCGGGATCCCTACAGAAGACCCTACTGTCTGCTGCCTCGCGGGCCAAATTTTTTTAATCAAAGGCTAGGAACGAGGTCCATGAAACAAAATCATTACCTTGTCGGCCAAACTTTTCAGTCAACGATTCAGGTTGGGATAGCCCAACTAAACCCTCTTCCTCAGCCTGAGCAACCGGGAAGTGTCATTCAATCTTGCAGGTCTTCGTTCACTGACGCCTCTCCATACGTCCTTCACCCAGGTCCTTCTGCCTCATTTGACTGTCAGCCACCTAACCGTTACTCCGCATCTACGCCCCTGTCCAGTGAAATAAATCAAAACATACCCATATTTATACAAGGGTATGTTCCAAGTTGCTGCTTTTGCTATCCGTACTCTATGTCAAGTTAGCCAACAGCTAGCTTCTTCTCAGACATCGTTTTCTCTCGATCGATGTGTGTGTATCCGAAACACACATACAAGACCCCGGCTCGGTCATACTCCTCAAACCACTCGGGTCGACCGCAGATTTCCCGCTTTTTATTCTTCGGGTGTCTGGTGTTCTCGATGCAATGGCCCCTGATATCTATGGCATGGGTGTTTTGCTCAGCCCCAGGGCCGAATGCGTTTTACCGTACTGGGTTCATGTGAACAGTTGTTTTTGCACTGTTAGGTTGACTAACTTGATGAAGATCAATGCATCTCGGTGTGGCAAACGGTTTTCGTTTGTTAGGTCAGCTTCAACAGACGGCAGCTGTAAGCCTGAGGAAGACAGCTTCTATCGGAATTTGCCGCGGTTACTCCTGTCAACGAGAAGCACAGATATTGTGACTCTTGTAGGTGATACGAATGCTTCAGTTGCCTGACTAATTCCCGATGAGGCCCATCCTGGTGAACGATTCGGGGTTGACGCTCATATAGATTATGGGGGCCACTTCTTCAACTGTGTGCTTAACATCACTGGTTTCTATCCAGTACAAGCTCTCTCAGTACAAGCCACCAACTGCAAACCAGCCGTGGGCTCATTTACACCATGCGACAATGGGTTGCCGGTGGAGAGTTTCGGTAAAAGATAGTGGTTCATTTTGGAGTACACCACCTGACTCCGATTACGGTATTGTGCGGGCACATGTATCTGTTCGTTTTCCCTCTGAACCACGTCGGTTGATGCAAAATTATTCAGCTCATCACCCGTAAAGCGTCACTATGGTTCAACACTGTTAAGCTGAGTTGGCTAAGAATCAGAACTCGACCGGAGCAGTGGTAATTCAGATGACGACTGGAAGAACGTAACAGAGGCCATGATTGCAGCTTGTCTGCCAGAGGTCCATCGCACATCCCAATGAACACTGGACCTCATCACGATCACCAGGTTTAATCAGTGCCAGGAAGGCTATTCCAGCAACAAACGACTAATGGCAGGCGCAGATCCCCAAAACTTCTATTAATGAAGAGGCTTAGGATTGAAATGCAGAAAGGACGGAGAACAGTCGTACCGTGTACCAGCTTATTTGATCATCCGAGAAGGGCGGATGTCAGTGAAATGATATCCAAAATACCTGAAACCTCAATCCATTCACAGAAACTCCATATTGAACAGTGGAACAACCTTTTCCAATTGAATCGCTTCGCGGCAACAAAGCATCCCGATTGGACGATTCGCACCCTGCTCCCTTAAAAAAAGGTGAGTCGTCGTGACTAACCTAACGGCCCTCCTCCAAAATATCTGGGATGAAAAGCGCCTCAACAGTGATACCCATATTTAAAAATAGTGCAAGAACATCATGGTCTCAACCCAATAACTATAATTTTCAGTGTTCTCTGGCACCATCCTACGCAGGTTGCTCGATCATCGGGGGAGTCAGATTCGCGAGAATAAAGGTGGGTTTCACCCTCGTTGGGGTTGCATTGATCATATTTCCACCTTTCCGATAATTAATAGTGATCCTTTTCCCGACCTCAAACATGTTTTTGACTTTGGTGGACATTGAAAACTATGGCAATGTTCGGCGATGAAAGGAGTCCGTTATAAGTTCTCTCTTTTAGAGGCTCTTCACGTCTCTAGACGCGTACGCGCCTGTGGTAAACTCCATCCTAATTTCATCACATCCAGTAGTGTCAGGCAAGGATATCCTCTTTCACCCCGTTCATCAGCTTCGTAATTAACATGCTGCTTGGAACTTCTTTACCTGCCTCTAACATGTCGGTGATAAAAATACTTTCGCGCCGTTCACTCATAAACATTAAGTACACCGACGATATTTCTCCCTTTGAATCAGGCCATTTAGAATAGCATACTATCTTATATAAACTGAATAGTTCTACTGCAAAGTTGATTGTACACTTCGCACCTGCAAACTATTAAGCGTTGCTGCGAAATTCGGTGGGATCAAACCCGAACCGCATCCTTGCAGGTGAACTTTTCAATGCAGTAGACAAGTTCATGTATTCGGATAGCTACTCAAGTCCCGGCCACACTGAGTTGAGAATGCTAGAACAGCAGTTGTTAAACTTCGCCATCCGTGGCTCCGACGTGACAGCCCGACTACCAAGCGTAGGATGTACTCTACCGGGGTCCCGCGTTGTCCTACTTTATTGGTCACACTTCACAAGTGACGCTGTTTATACCATGTGCTTCGTGTGTCAGAGGACCGTTCGCTTCATAGAGCTCTTCGGCCAACCTTGTGTCGGATGGTGACGACACAGCGGCGGACATTCCACGACCTGGTAACGAAGCATGGAAGCCCGTTCTAAGACCCGGGCAGCTAAGGACCCTACAGGACAATAGAAGCTATCGGACTATACACAGTCCTTGTTGAGTGAACAGTAGGAATAAACGAATGAGGATAGTAGACGCTGTATTGGGTACAAGTGGGTCAGTACATATTGTGAACTGTCAATCAATAATAGCGCAATTGGTAGGAGCTGAAAAAGCCACAGCGTGACGCAGTAAGATTTTCTTGAGGCACTAGCGATTAAGTACCAAATGTTATACCGACGCAGGGATACGGGAAGTCAAATAGTGTGAATAGGTCCTTTACATGGTAATGGCTCAGAAGACAGTTGGTGTTTTCGTGATGTAACGGGAACTGTCTGGGAAACGGGTATCGAGTTAATTTGACACAAGTTAAACGTACCTGCAGTCTTTAGCTGACGGTGCTACGAGCAGCACGTGCAACGTGTCAAATTGGAATGCACGCTTACGCCTGTTTGAAACAACTACTATCGGGTAAGGTGCAACGCAAACGTAGAACAAAGAATAGGTCTGTCTGAGAAGTCGAGGTAGCGCAGCACCCATCTCCCATCCGAGGGGTTCAGAGTTAGATCCCCGTTCGGTTTTTTTTTCAGTCGGAGCAGACACTCAAACGTAGGCATGTAGGTAGGAATTTGCAAGCGAAGACGGTCAGGCAACAAAATCGTGACATTAGCAACTAAAGGAGTAAGCAGACCTTAGCGAGAGCAAAACCTGGGGAAAGAGCAGCAGGGAAACAAAACGACGTTGTAATAGACAGGCAGAAACCACGCCACTCATAAGTAGCCAAAGCAAGTAGGTAAAATAACCGTTGTTTTTCGTTGATTCACAAGAAGAATCAACACCAGCAGTCGTGTTGGTAAATGCCATCTTCCCGGATGAAGAGCGTGGGACAAGATAAATCACTGGTTAATGGCGCTGATAGATATGTGTCAGCTAGTGGGGACCTTGCATCAAAGCAATTGACATCACTGCGTAGCTCTCACCTTATGGCATTCTGGACGAACAGATTTGTTTGCCGTCAGTGCACAGACTGGACCTCCGCCTTCAACGCGTGGATCTCATTCCTTCATTCTTATCCTCGGTGAACGTAGCTTTAGCAGCTAGAACCACTGCACTTCGATGTAAGGCTCGTGAGCTGTAGAACTGATCGCAACATATTCTGTCTAGTGGCTCCTACCCCACAGTATCCATGCATATGCTCCGCAGATGTATTCCGCTTCATGGACCCTGACAAGCTCGCATACTCTGCGGTCACTGTATGACATTTTAGGCAATCGATTTGGGGCATTCCTAACAGGAATTAAGCTGTCCCCCATATTCACATGCTATTCCTTATCTGTTTGCGACATCTCTTTAACTTCTAGCCACAGGGTTCTTTTCGATGATGCGCAAATTCGAAGCCAGCAGAAAAGCAAACTGGCCAAAACCTGAGAAAGGAGCACTGGAAAAGTCGGTGGTCAGGATTGGTCCAGTCCGAAGCCCTCTGGTGTAAATATCAAGTTTAAATAGGTCAGATTTAAACTACTTTCGGTCACGGAATTTCATTTTACTCTTTAAAAGTTTTTTAAATACCCAGTCATACCCATCTGTGCTATGTTTTCATATTTGAATTCCAGTTTTACTGTGACCCGTCGAATGTGGAACAAATGCGGCTGTTACTGGAACGTGACCACGCGATCCAACCGATGAGCGTCGAAGATGTCCTCGTTCCCAAGTGTAAAGTTCAAGTGGATTCTAAGGCGTACGCCAATCTATTGGAGATGTACGAAAGAATTCGCGATCAGCATGAATACGTGGACCGGATAGTTGATAATGTGACCGTTGTGGGTGACTCCCAACGAGACTGAAATTGTCCCACCCAAAATGTAGTATAGTGTATATGCGGCGAATATTCTTTATAACTTTTCTTGAGATTATTGCTTTCTCTTTCATTCAAAACTTATGATCCGTTGTGTACTTGTTGCGGGGTGGCTTCACTAACCACCTTCTGTACCCACCGAATTCCAAAGGGCCGTCCTCGTGATCTTTAAAATTACTTTGCAATTCACGATATAGGTCCTTATCCTTACCAAGAGTCCATGCTAACGGATAGAAGCTAATCACAGGCTTACAGCGAAACTGATCGTACACTCAGTCGTAACTACTGCAAAATGGAAATAGCTATTCGGTGCACATTCGGCTCTCTCAACAGATGTTCACGCGGTGAATCCCGCTTGGGAAGGCTGCCAACTCTAGGGAAAAAGACGTTTCATTTTATGGCCCGAAATAAGAGGTCATTCAGTTCCCACCAGATGGATTATCGTGACCGGGTGGTCAGTTGGCTTCATTTCTCTTACAGTTTAACCACGCTGCTGACCACCGTCTGTGAATCACATTTAATTGCCAGTTTGCAAGGTCCAGCTGGTTTTCGGAACGCGCTACCGATTACTGACCTTACAGTGTTTGTAGATTTTTAGTCATAGTTTGCCGTAATCTTATGTACATGGGCTGCTCCAGTAAGAGTCGGCCAATTTTCTGCACCTTCGTCAGCCATGTGTGTGAATAGGTAGGTGTAAACAAGACTCGTAAGACAGATTAAGATTTTGTTTCACTCTTATTGGGGCTCATCAAACTGACGCACTCCCTGAGTTTCTGCCAAACTTATATTCCGTTTGAACTCAAATTGTACGAAATCCGACAAATACACTTATCTGTATACCAATTTGGTCTTCGCAGGAGACTAACCCGAATCCTAGATGAACTTCTCGTTTATGAGGTTTTCAACTGAATTTCGTGCAATTTGGATTCAAGTAGAATATAGGATTGACGGAAACTCGAGGATTGCGCTTACCTGATGAGCCCCAAGAAGGGCGAAACTGGCCATGTGTTGTCGAAGAGTTTTCAGCAACCTTGTGAGTAGTTTCCTTTATTGAAAATATACTGCGATATCTCGAATATCGCACCAACTGAAACACGAAGCGGCCCGATGGAGCACATTTAGTTGCTTAAAAAATATCACAAGCGAGAGATCCAGCTGGTTTTCAGGTGATCCTCCCGTCAAAACCGAATTCGTATGTAAACGAGTGCATTTAGCTCATTTCGTGCAGTTTGGGTTCAAGTAAAACATAATGTTGATGTAAACTCGTGGATTGCGCTTACCTGGTGATGGTAAGGGCGAAACTAGTCGTGGGCTGTTGAAGTTTTCAGTAGTGTGTTGGGTCCATACAATATATTCCGATGTCTCGAATATCGTACCAAATGAAATATGAGGCGGTCTGGTGCGGCACATTCAGTTGAAGAACATCGTAAGCGAGTGATTCACCTAAGATTCGTGCGAGTCTGCCGTGAAAACCATATTGGTGTGCGGCTGAGTGTATTTTTCGAATTTACTGGTAGAGGTTGTGCTCTAAGTGGGCGGTGTACACATAGGCAAACATTAATGCAACTTCAAAACCCACTTTTTTGAGATCGCATCCTAAAAAAGGGTTGACAAGGCTCTAAGCGAGCAATGAGCAAACCAGCCCTCGGCCACCATAACCTACGGCGTCTGACGAGTGCCGACGCGGCCTATAACCAAGAACACTGACGCCGGTGGACTGTAATACACTCGCGTATTGGTGAGTATCTGGGTTATGGTGGCACACTCGACATACTCCTTGTCCGGACGGCGGACTTTTGCTATTCTGCCAGTATTCGCAAATAAGCCATAGCTGACAACCGAACTAGGTGAAATCGTCTGTCGTATTTACGTCTGCTCATCAGGTGGAGAATAGATTCGCCTAAAGAACCCTATTCTAACTTCTGATCAGTCGCTTCTTGTTTTAATGAATGGGCAATACAAGTGTTGTTAAGACCCCTTAAAACTGGAAGTTCGGGTATGATCTCTTTACATCCTTAACACCTGGGGAGTAGCAACTACATTCGGTCCTATCTCAGAGGGCAGGAAGGCACACTTCATGCGATCAACTGGTACCACCACCTGTCCATATTTTAGAAGCCCACACAGGTAAGGTTGTTCAGTTTACGGGAAGGCTAATCCACCATCTCTGGCTAGTCACCTCGTTTTCCGATAAAATCCTTGAAGAGATTTTGGGTCGTATTGTGTGGAGGGAATCATCACTTCTCGTCATCAGCCAACTCTGACCACTGGATTCCCGCGTTACCCCTGGAGCATTTTCCGTCCGCAAACCGGGTACCTAATCGTATGACGAGGTGGTCTTGGCGTAAATTCGCGCTGCACATGCAGTAAGTATGGAGGCTTCAAACTGTTTCCTGCAGCTGACGATCAGTTTCATGGCTACGGAAGCACAATGATGCCTCTCCCCGAGAAAGAGCGGGTTGGGGAGGGTCCCCTTAAAAATCACCCCCCTCGCTCNGTTTCCTGCAGCTGACGATCAGTTTCATGGCTACGGAAGCACAATGATGCCTCTCCCCGAGAAAGAGCGGTTTGGGGAGGTTCCCTTTAAAAATCACCCCGATCGCTCAACGTTTAGGCGTAACCGCCGGCGCCCTACGGTCTAAAGACAATCTTACCCAGATACGAATGGGCTCGGTATCTTCGAGCGCAACACAACGGCGGACGAAAAAGGGCTGGGCGGAGCAGGTGAGAAACGACGACTACTGAATCACCACTTGGATTAGTTCGGTGCCACATCCTACAGAGTCTTCATGTGCCGCCCCGTGAGCCTCACCAGGGTGACTGGGTTCATTCAGTACTTCTGTCTTAGAGTAGTATGGGTGTGCTGCTACGACTGACCGCCGAGACAATTGTTGAAGTTCAGACTCCCTTAGACGAAAAGATGTGCGAATAGGTGTCTGCTGCCTTCGGAAAAATAAGTGTCGAATTCATTCTCCACCCCTTGGGCAGACAGCTCCGTGGTATGAACAATTTTGCTTTGCTAATTAGCGATCAGTGAATACGGATCGAGAAACAGAAGTTCCGCGTCCAGACGAAGGGCGGTATGTAACAACGTGAGTATAAAGTTATGCATAGGCAGTGGATGTTGCTATTTTGATTATAAACCGTATCAACCAAGGAGTGCGTTTGGCTATGGTTTTCTGTCTAGAAGTGAACCAAACCTTGCGAGTATAGCCTAACAAAAGGTTTAAAAACGTCGCACCTAGCGGACTAGCCAGATGCACTTTCATGGATATTGGCGCTTAAGCAATGACGTTGTATGTATTGGAATTCTGTTTTTCAGACGAATTAGTCGAATGAAGCCGATAATCTATTCATCATTGCAGAGCTCTTTCAGGGTAGCACCGTCCACAGTTCAGAGGTGGTGATGTTGAAACGGCAGAAATTAGCATGAGTTGATGATGACACTTGGACTAAGCCGGTTAGCATTACGTCAGGTTCCCCCTTCACCAATCCGATACTGTGAAATTTACCCTGCACACCCATGCGAAACGCCGTGGAGGGTTGGTTGTATGCCGAATACAAGACAGACAGGGTTGCTGCAGCACCGTTCTGAAGACCTCGGTTGATTTTGGAGAAGTGTCTAAGCAGATAAAATCTGAGTCAACAACAAAATATAAAGCGTTCTTCAATAGGAACATCGAATCCGGAAAGTCACGTTTTTCCCGGCGGAGTCATGAACCTTTTATCAAAACGGACAGAGAAATCTGTTTGAATGAGGCGACGAGTAGAGAGACGGCTAGTTATTACATTGAGTTAGCTCTCCGTCTCGCACCCGTAGAAATTCCCTGCTCAGTGTAAGCTGTCCAGACTGAGAGAATTACGTTGTTGTTTCGCCGCGGGGAGACCAATTAATCAATGCAGTCCACAATGAGAGAAATCGAAATGGAGCAAAGTAGGAGATCATTATTAATATTGATGAAACCGGCGACCGGCAGGCGTGGATGAAAGAGATGAGTGCACAAAAAGTTGGAAAGACTGTTAAGCTGAGCTTGACTGCGACACACTGTTAGCGATTTGATTTAGGGCGGTCCGGAAAGTCCGTTGAACTCGGTGTTGCCGACGGTTGTGTTGCGCAACTTCAGCAAAACCTATACGAAGGAAGGTTGGCGTAAATAACCAGAACAAACGCGTTTTTCAAGTTAAAGTGATGCATGGGAAGACAATATTTTTTTACCAAGCCCCACAAAATGGGAGTTTAACTGGGTGGTTCTCAAACCAGCGAGGATGATTCTACCCTTCGGCGTTGTTTGATCCAAACGTTTCGATACCACTGTCATACACTGTTCAGGTTGTCAAATGAGACAGAACCACTGACGACCTGAGGAAGCCTAAAAGCTTATGGACTGCAATCCTTGTCATAAAAGCTAAAGTACCCTCGGTTGGGAATAGCTAGCTCCCTAATAATGTCACTATCCGAAAGCGGGCCGCCCGAAACAATAAAAAAACATATCGATCAGACATTTCGCGAAAATGAGACAGAACCACTGACGACCTGAGGAAGCCTAAAAGCTTATGGACTGCAATCCTTGTCCTAAAAGCTAAAGTACCCTCGGTTGGGAATAGCTAGCTCCCTAATACTGTCACTATCCGAAAGCGGGCCGCCCGAAACAATAAAAAAACATATCGATCAGACGGGCATTTCGCGAACTGTCTAGGGACCAAAAGGCGTGCCCTGATTACGCCGATCCGAATGGAACATTTTGAGCTCGAGGCCTATCGCATCATCACAAAGATTCTAGCTTGACGTCGTGAAACACTTTGTGATAACTTTAAATACAGGTGTGGCGATCTTGCTGTGTCTCCATTAAAGACTTCCAAGCCTTTTGATATTCTGTGGGGGACAGAAAAAGCAACCCAGAGACAAGCACGGGAGTTGCGAACGACAACAGACGTGAACCGAACATCAGAGGAATGGCCTGTCTTTTAAAAAGAGGAATAAACCTCTATAAGGCGAAAAATATAGGGGCTTTGAAGGTAGGTCTTGGAGATCCGGGAGCTGTCGTATTCTCATTGGATTGAGACGTGAAGCTGACTACTTTGTAGTTACCTACTCCTTCCATTTCAAGCCATTGTCTGAAAGTCTGGTGAAGCTTTGGACAATAGGTTGGATTTTCGTCAGACCATATTTAGGAGAAATCAAACTGGTATCTTATGAACATTCCTGGGTGTACTAGAAATGAACCAGACTAACAATTACAGTCTGTTCGTGTAGTAACTTGGGTCCGGCAGGCTCCAAAGTAAAACCCACCTTCAACTCCGCACACCTGTTTCGTTCAGCTTGTATACCTTCCAGGTAACGGCAGTTCAGTTGTTCCAGACGTGCGTTATCCATGGTGAGTTGATGTAGGGTACGTGCCAGTTCGGCCTCACCTTCGTCTTCGTCATCATCGTCATCGTCTTCACCGTCGGTTTCGACCTCAACAGGTAGTAGATCTGAAGATGGAACGGACCCCTCATCGTCCAGCTTGCTGTATCCGTTTATTTTTCCCCGATGCTCCTCGTCATCGTCGTATTCTTCTGTCAGTCTTGAATAAGCCACCGGTTGGGACTCATCAACCATTTCTTCAAATTCGTCGTCATCGTCTTTGGATGTTGAATCGGATAAGTCAGAACCATCTGGTTCGTCCATCAAACAGGAGGCTTCCTTCCCACTGGAACCATAATCAACAGCACTCAATCTCTCAGCTATGCGGGTCCATGAGTGATCTAACCAAGTGGCCAGGGAATGTTCTGTTCCATCTGCCTGAGCGGATGTAGGGTGAATTCGTGTGGAATTGACCTGTGTTTCGTAGATCCTTTGAACGCGTTTTCCACCCGTTTCCAAAAGATGACTAATACAAGACTAGATAATGGAAAATTACGTCATTAGCTGCAGTATGAAGAACAGTTGAACCGAAAATAAGAGACGTATTTACTATGTCAATTGGTGCAAACTTGGCACAAATTCTCACCAAATGAAAGTGAGCAATGGACGAAAACGTATTGGTTTAGTTTTCTATGGATCGACAACGATTCTCACCAGTACAATAAAAAAAAATGGAAAAGGGAATACTAGGGGAACATGTGAGCTCAGTGATTCATCTTCTGACCGGCACAGATCATATTTAGGATTAAACTTGATCAAGGTGAATCAATTACAGTAGGGCACATGTAGGGCAGGAAAATCTGAGAGTTAGGGAAAAGGTAACTTAATACAACCGGCTGTCTGGGTTATATGGAAGATATGGCTTGGCGCGTGACCTGGTCAGACGAGAAGCCACCACTGGGCAAACTGCAGGGTTCGGACAGCTTTCTTTTGAGCAAAAGGCTCGGATGTAAGTAGGGTGGCAATTGGCGGAATTCGACTGTTTTGGACCGGCTTTGTGGCATTTGTCAGATTAATAACGTGGCCGCGGTAGGTGGGCTAAAATGGAATTCGCTTCTACCTCCCAGGACGGGACCACTTAGGTCTGTTCTCTCAAGTGTTAGGCCGTGCAACTCAGTGTTCGTCTGCTGTAGGACGATAGCACACAAAAGGCCGCATCCCTTACAACTCAGAAGATCGGCTGCATATCAGATGACCTTTGCCACTGCGTCTATCTTACCGCATTTGGTTCAATCATATAATCAATCCTACATATTCTCACGAGGGACGAATAACTGAGAACATGTATTCGTCTGGTGTATCCTTCCATCAGAAAATCATTACCAGCGTATGGATTGTTCATGAACTGAGGTTTACGCATGAGCTTAGTACCTGAAGCTGTTGATTCAGAGTGAACCTATGCGAAGTCATCATGGTCCTTCAACCGGTACAACAATTTACGCTGGTCTTGAAATAGACCTCAGCTCCTCAACTTAAGCTTGCTTTCTTGAGTGAATGTTTGTGAACAGTCGCCGCTGGGTCCTTCGGCTTTCCCGTTCCACAAAATTTCGGGCGGGACCGCTCTTTGTCTATAGTTTTTGCCTCTTTATCGACTAAGTGTAGTCTTGACTTAGTGAGGTACATTGTTCTGAGAAATAATCACTATGTTATCCACCACAAAGAGTTCAGGAAGTTTCTGTGCGCGAGTAGGTTATCTCACTTTATGCGAGGTACAAAATGGTGGCATGTTCATCTTAGCCTAAGCAGTAATGACATTAGTAAGCGATTTTTCCATGCAATAATCCCCAGTCTTTCCTCACTAGTACTGGGTTTAGGCATACTAGACGTCGTTGTGTTACCTGGCGTCCCACCTACTGCTGAGTAGCCGTGGAAACAAGTCGATCACGTAGGTGTTAGCTAACAGCGGCGACGCCCGATACTTGACTGATAACCAGTCTGGAATTCACAATTTAATTCAATTCAGCTATAACCCGTGTACCACAGGTACGGTGATTCCAGCTGCTACAGTTTCAATCACTGGAAAACAGGAGTGTGGAACATACAACCAAGCCTTGAAGGTGAAGGCATGTTCGGCTTGTTTGAAAATTGGGTAGCTACGCACTGAAAGCGATAGCTTAGATGCGCGAGCACCACTGACTGCGCGATTGGGCCATTTCTGCCAACGTCATTAACCATTGATGATTTGAGTTCCGGGGTCTCCATTCAGGAAGGCGGCAGTTGTCGACCCGACTAAGTTTACCGGTTGGTGAGTTCGCACTTCGTTTTCAGGTCATACACTGTTCGCCTCTCGGTCGTTTCCACTCAGCACAGGGCTGGGCGTAAAGAGCTCTGCGAGGAAGGCGATCTTCTGGCATGCGGAGTACATATCCTAACCAGTGTAACCTATGGAACGTGAGTGATTCATCTATCACGGGAGAGTCCCTTTTTCCTAAGACCATCTGGCGTACATCTGGACTGCACATGTTGATTCGGACTATGCCCTCGTCCGATGTATATTTCCACTGAATTTTCCAGGTAAAAGTAAGAAGGGAACTTCCCGCTTAACAGTCGAAAAGCCTTATCAAGCAGCAATCAGTTGGCATAATGTCTTACTTTGCAAGCGACCTCTTAGGAAAACATTAATGGTAGCTGAGACGACGTAGCAACTACTATAGATGACGCTGGAAACTCCGCATTTGGTATGTTCGAGTGCGCGATTAGACCGGAGGAGCTCATAATGGTGGCTATCACTTATTGACATAAGACGTTGTGTCCCTTCGGGGTTAGAGAAAATAATTCGGCTGAACAGTCCGTTTGACTTCAGATTCAAATCGCTTTATTTTGAACAGTCTTCCACCTGTCCTGGCACAATTATTCTGCCAGGTCAATAATAGAAAGGGGAAGCAATGGACTCGACTTCTGCTGTTAAAGCTTACCGGCGGCGCATTTCCTTGGCAGTGCCGGAATTCGAATTCTGAACATATCAGGCGAGCGTGTTATCAGTACTCCACTAACGCACGCTGGACACACCTACATTAGTCACTGGTAACCTACCTGGATCCGGCTAATTTCTGCATTTTCAGACCATATGCGGGCTCGAAGGTCCGTGTTGATAGCCTGTAGCTCTTGCTTCCGAGCTGTATAAAAGGCAATCTGCTGGGCAATTTGGCGATCCACGGGAAACAATGACGGTTCAGCCTTCAAACCGGAGCTGGATTTCCGCCAAGGGGACGGTGGAAGCGGAGGAGCTACTGCAGGCGCAGACTTTTCAGAGAGAACAGCGTGTTCGACTGTGACATCGAACTCAAACCGGTCATCGATCTCTTCCGGAGGAGCTACCTGTACCTGGGCATCTTGAGTGGTAACTTCTGTGACGGAGGCAGTGGGTAAAACAGTATCAACCTGTTATATGGGGTGAGTAAAAGATGGAAGAAAAGATTAGTCGCGAAAGACAACCTATGGTATGACTCAATCGCCATACCGTCCAGGTTACAAAATGAAATCTGGGTGGCCTGAACACTAAATCACGCTGCATTGGCGATGTGGGCTATCATATGGAAATAGACAGACAGTTATTGAGAGTCTGGATGGAAAGCTGCTTCAAGAAGCTCCAAAGACTATCAACCCGCCGGATCATCAATATCACGTAGCTACACCCAGTGAAGGCCGTACTTACTTACAGTCCAAGCAGCGAAGCGAACTGAGCTCAGTTAACCTGGAGACTCGGTCAGCTCCGCCTGTAGTTTAACAACTAACCCATCAAACATCAGAATTATTCAGCTGCAAGACCATCCTGGAATGTGTGTGGCGACAGACCTGTCATTCATCTTGATAACTTCGAGAAGACAGAGCGTGTCTGGGCCTATTAGAAGCAGAGTAGCCCAACGCCCTAGACATCATTCAGCTAATAAAACACGCCCATTAACGTTACAGACTGACTACACATCGGAATACAGCATTGTGACTGTGGGATGGTCAGGTCTAGTACCAAATACAGCTGGTGAGAAGTTTTGCCGAATTCCGGTACAGACTAGATTGAGGATAGAGCGGTATTTGTTTGGCGAAGAACGCAACCAATCTCCGAGAACAGTAATCAGCCGTATCACTTGTTGAGAATCTTCCGCGCGCAAACGCCTTTGCAAGCAGAGTAATACTTCAGGAGAAACCGGAACGGAAAGCCTTGTATTCGTCTGAATGTGAAGGTGGGATATGGGTTTTTTGTTCATTCACAATTGGTCGACGAACTACAGGAGTTCGCTGCCTCAAAATCAAAATTTGTTCAGTTCGAGAGGGATAACATTTGTATAACTCAGGTAGGTAATGGCTTTGGGCAATTCGAGGGAATTTTGAGGTTTTACCACCTTGAAAAACAAGTTGGTAGACCGATCACGGGAATCAGTTAAGGAAACGACATTTCATTCCTTATCCGGAGAGTCAGCATCGAGAGAGATATTAATAACTGTTCAATAATCGTCAACCTGGAACTCATCATATTCTGTGTCAAGTGTGTCCGTAAGTGCATACGACAAAACCCGCCATTATTCATGATAGTACACAAGTATGACAGATCAACGTCCATGATATCCAAACCGTGGAATATGATTAGGAAGTTCGGAAATTTCAATGGCGATTAGAAATTGGATATAGTAAAAAGGACACTTTGAATGTGTTTTTGAGTGTGTATTTGAATACGAGTCAAGAAAATAAGCTATTCTTGCGATTTAAGACCTTGTTGGTTGGATGACAGTGAATAAAGAGTCCACATATTGTTGATGCTGTTGTTGCCCTGAAGTGAAGCAAACGCATTTGACTTGTTCCATAGCAGATAAATCAGCATTGGTTGAATAGGTCAAAAACACTACACGGTAAACTCACGTATCCGATAGGTGGTTAGACTAACATATGACACACGCGTCAATGACATACATCTGAAGGAAGCATTCGGACGCCAGCTACTTCGGTCAATTTTTTAAAAAGTTTCTTGGTCACAAGGAAAAATTATCAGATGAGCCTCAACACAGAAGGAATTCCATATAGACGGGGAAAATTGCTACACCGTGTTCGAACTTACAGCTGTCTCCTGCTCTGTCACTGTCTTGCTGTCCGCGAGGGGAGCCTCTAATTCAATCGTATGATCGACCGACGCCTGCTCCCGTTGTAACTCTTCTTCTTGTATCACCGCCTGTTTTGTGTCGGTCTCGCCAACAGTATTAGCAATTGGCTCAGCAGCATTGTCGGCGGGCCGAACGAGTCGAATGGTACGCGGACTATCAATCGGACTATGAGACTGCTTCTCCACGTCACTGGCAGGTAACCTCGTGGAGGGAGCACGTACGAGTGTGGTGTCTGGCAATGGTTGTTGCGTCAACACCACAGTATCTTCGTTGCCTGTAGAGGCAAAGGTGGTGCCACTCGGGGTATCCAACGGGAGTTTGCTATATGAATGAAAGAAAAACAGGATTTCATTGGTGAATGTGACAATGGTCCAAATAAGTAGATCTTATGGCGTTGAGGTTTAGCACGTCACTTAATTTTCTGAATCTCCTGAATGTGTACGAGTGGACACCACAAAAAATTCACTAGTACCACAAAAAAGTGAGTGTGATGGTAATGACGAAACGTTCTCACGACCAAATGAGAGAGGAACGTACCGAGGACGGAGATGTTATTCGATATGGTACGTGGTACTCTGACCGCATTACGGAAAGAAGTGCTGGTTCGATGAGAAGCCGGATAGATTCAGAACGATACATACATTGGAAGGGGTCCTCTCCAAAGGCCATTTTAGGGATGTCCTGGGAGGGAACCCAATCCGAATAACGAAACTGTCGTGCCATTATGAAGCTGTTTTGGTCATCACAGAACTATTAGAGGATTCGCGCTCACCTAACATACGTTGTTTCGGCAAGCGAACAAACTAGACTAACACGACTGGCACTCCGGAACAGCTAACGAACATTTCGGTTGGATTGAGAGGTTATGGATCCTACGTGCACGATAGCAGCTATACTCCGCGACCACGCCATTCTGCACATAGTAGTTAGCTGCGCTAATTTGGATGCATAGTCGCTGGTGGGTCTGAGGTATCAAGGAGACTTTGGTCTAGTTCAGGAGAGCACGTATACATCGCATCTAAACGGATCCTCTTACCAAATGGATGCAGACCACGGACTCTTCGAATGGAAAACAACAGCAGACAGGCCACTTCTGATCTCATTCGGTCAAGGAATTTTGCCAATTTCTAGCGGAACTAATCAGCAGGCAGTGAATCAGTTCATGTTTTGAGGTAAATGACATTCCCACCATTTCAGTCCATTCAGAACGCAGCATCAACTACGCTGGATGAGACACGTATTGAGAATCCCACGGCTACTTCGGTGAGCTTTTCTTACGACCATTAGTACGTAATAGTGAACAGTGCGGATTTGCATTCACCTAAAAATTCTGGATGGCGACTTAGTGAAGACCGCATCTGTCAAAAAACGTCCTTCAAAATGGCGTGAATCCAAACTTTGGAACTTGACGACAAGAGTTAGCTNAGTTAGCCGACTCTTTCCCATTTTTTACATTGAGTAATATGAAAAAGCTGGATAGAGCTACCATTTAACTAATTCGGTACAGAAATCGTGCGGCAGGATTCGAAATAATCAGTCTGTTCGCTATGAGACTCTCCACTGAAGAGAGATCCTGGTATTTTCCAAAAGGATGAGTATTATGCGAGAGGGTGTCAAGCCGGAAGGAGCACGCCGTAGCGCTCAAACGACTGTAGTGCGCATCATGGGCCGATCTTGTCAATAACGCCCAGAGTCCGGTGAATACCGGAAACGAGTCTCTCAGTTTCCACATTGAAAACGAGGCAATTAAAACACTGAAGTCTCATTGTGAGAGCAACTGACCGAGCCGTCGAAATTTGGATTTAATAAATTGATGCTAACACATTAGGCTACTGCTAACCACTTGTAAGTAGCGAGAAAACAATAGAGAAAGTTGAGCGTGAACACAGCTTTTTTGCTCATTTTGCGTAGAACCACACGTGTGT